GTGGGAGCTACTGGGCCTCCCTGGGACCTGGGGGGTGTGCTCAATGCCAGGCTCCTGGGGAGCCTGTCCCAAAGGCCCTCAGCTAATCACTCCGCTTTACTGTTTGCTTACACATTTCCACCTAATTGGGGTTAATCTGCTTGGTGTTTTGGCTGATGGGATGGTTCGAGGCCAGATACATTGCAGGGGGTGTGCATTTTTAACCCCTCCTTGTGTTTCCAGGCCATGGAGCCAGGGGAAGGAGCCAGCTATGGTGTCAGGTCTGCATGAGGCCCATCCTGGTGGCCACCGAGCCTTCTGCTCCTGCCTGGCCCTTCACCCTGCTGCCTCGGGGCCCCATGCAGAGGAGGTGCGTGGGCCCGGCACCCGCCTCTGCTGTCCTTCTGTACCCTGTGAACTTTGCCTTCAGGGAGCCCTTCTGCACTCATCTCGGCCTCCCTTGCTATTTCGGGTCCTTTCGCTGGTGGGGAAGGGGTGAGTCACAGGCAGCTCGTGCAAAATGGTGCTCGTCGTTACGTTAAAGGAGAAACTGCCACCACCAGGAACTGCCACCCTGCCCGCTGAGGGTGGAAGAAGAGCTGTGTTTTGGGGGGGGAACTCAGCTGTGCAGCAAGCGTTCGTCGCACTAAGGAGAAGCTGTGGTGAATGCCACTCCTCCGCCCTCACCCGAGCTTAAAGAGCTTTTCCTGGAGGCTGTGATGGAGGAGCACAGCTCCATGGGACGTGCCAGCAGTGGCTGTGTCACGTTGTGTGGCATTTTGGACCTCCTGAAAGCAAGGCTTGCTCACTAGGCTGAGGATGGGTCCGATCCCTTCAGAGCTTGGAGCTGGTGTCCAGACTGGTCCCTAAAAAAGTTCTTGCTCCCCTGGAAAGGCACCGTGGAAGATACAACACACAGCAGCGTGTTTTGGAAAGCTCCCAGTTCCCGGGCAGGAAACAAAAGGGAGCCCCGGAGCTGATAAGTTGTATGAAAAGGGGGCAGAACAAAAACTCGGCTGTCTCCAGGGCCTCTCACACAAGCTCCCCCCCAGCACGGCGACAAAACCGCAGGAGAAACTACGCCGGTGGTGCGACGACGCCGAGCCGGCTGCCGGCAGACACTCAAGGTCTGGCGGTGTTTAATCACAGCAGACACAAACCTTCCTGTTATTCAAACCCGTCCTGGTGCCAGCTAATCCCGAGCCGTCCCGCAGCCTGCTACCCAGCCCGGCCACCCTCCCAGGGGGGCTGCAGAGGACCCCATGGGGCAGTGTGTGACTATCCCACTGAAAAAAAAAAGGGATTCGGTGGCTTTGCCCCCCTGCCCCTGTGCATTTGGGGGAGCCCACATCGCTAGCCGGGGAAGGAGCCTCTCAGTGAAGCCAAGGTCAGGGGAGTGAAGCAGCTCCAGCTTCTCCCTCCTACTGTTTATGCAAGATGCCTGCTGCTTGTGCTTGGCCTGCCTGCCAAGCCCGTGGGGCAGTGATTAAAGCTCTGCGCCTGGCACCCATGCAGCAAATTCAGGTGGTTTCCCGTTGGGCTTTTTTCACCTCCCTCCTGCCCGCTAAGGTGGAGGGTGCCCTTGCCACAAACGTGGCTGACCCTGCATCTCTGTGTGCGGTGGGGAGGCTGAGCTGGCTTCCTAAAAATTCAAGAGGGCAGCTCTGTCAGGGACATGTGGCCCATCACTCCTGAAGACACCCCAGAGGAGGTTGCTGAGTCCCTCTGTCATGGGGCCATGCTGAATCAAAACCCCATCTCACCACCCGCCCACCTCTGCATGGGGCAGGAGTGACCAAACGAGAGAAAATACCCTCTGGTTGGGACACCATGATGTGAAATCCTCTGTGACACAGCCCAGGCTTGTCACCTCCACGACCATAAGTCTAGCTGATGGCCCATGCATGATGGACCCACCATGTCGTGAAGCGAGAGCTTCCACAAAGGTGGGCCTGGGCCTTGGGCCCTCTGTGGCTGTGCTGAAGGAACCAGCATGGATTCAGCACACGAGAAAAGTCAGCACACTCTTCTTCAAGAGCAACACCATTTAAGCATCAGATCGCCAAAAGCCTGGAAATCCACCATCCACGGCATGAAATCACCACCACGCTCTTTGTTTCAGTCTCTGCCTAAACTGATCCTGACCAGGAAACCTTTCTGAAGGCTTTAGGAGCCTGGCACCATAGGCTGCACTTCTCAAGGACATGAAGCCCTTAGAGCAGAAAATCACAGGGGACAGATTAGTGTAGGTTTTGCAGGTTTTATGCTGGACACTGTCACCTCAGCTGCTGCTCTGCTTGTTACACAGCAGCACTGGGCCTCTGCCTTTGGCTTGGTAGTGGCTATGCAGTCCCAAACAGCTGATGCTGACTCTGTAAACACGCATGGAACAGAGCAAATATTGCTATCAGGGTGGTCTCGGCGTGGGGAAAACTGCTGGAAGGAACCTGCATTGAGATACCATGGAGGGAAGGGTTTGTGCCTGGCCTCATTCATGCAGCTTCATAGCTCCCCAGGACCAGCTCTCCAAAGTCGTGTGAGGAGTGTGTACAGGCCACCCCTTATAAAAGCCTGTTATGTTTTTAGCCTGCACCTCGTACTCCACCTTTGTTGCCATTTAATAATTTTAGCTGCTAATTAATGGGCATTGCTTAGCTTGTAAATATTGACAGATACCTGGGGGCTATATAGAGCATCTTTTGTTGCCTAGAGGACCGCACTGATCCTGGTTACCTGCTCCTTCCCTAAGCATCAGTCCCCTTTGCCCTTTCTTCACTCTGGAAGAGTGAAGGTTCAGCTCCAGGTTCAGCTTCAGAGCAGTTCTCTTTCAGGAGATCACAACCAGGCTGGCCAAAGACAGGAGGAATTGCAGGACTGCTGGTATCCAGGTGAGATATTAGGCTGAAGCAGCAGGTGTAGCCAGGAAGCATTCCTGCAGGGCATGGCCGCTCTCTGATCAAGGGGTTGGACCTTCGTTTAGCCCCCCAGCCTGCGTTTTTTGTTCTACTGAGAGGCCTGCTGCTAAGGCTGGTTAAAGCTGAACTGCCAGGGGAAGGAAGAACAGCTTCCTTATTTTTTTTATTTTTTTTTCTGACAGCATCAGCAAAGCTGATTTTGCAACCCAGTGGGACTCTCTGATGAGGAAGGCTCAGGCGCTAATCAAAAAGTTCAAGCAAGCATCACGTGTGGGTGGAGCAAGTGTCATTTCTGCATCACTACCCCATCATCATCAGAGCCAGTAGAACTCATCCCACCTTCCTCCTTCAGCGCAACTCCTCATCTCCCCCTTCCCACCTAGCATCACCACAATTGCATGGATTCAGCTGTTGGCATGGGCACTCACACAAGTGGAAGACTTTTTTTTTGTTTTAATAATCTCCAGGCAGGGGTTCCACATTTGAGCATCTCAGCTAAGGTACAAAGTTCCACCCCCAGCTTTTCACTTTCTACAACCATAGCTCCCTGATGTACTGCTAAAACTGTTCACAAGCCTACAACGTACAGATGACAGAAGTGATCGCTTTAAAATAACATCCAAAAAAACAACATGGAAGGATGGATGACAACATGAGAGTTTTAACTGCAGATGCTTTCTGTAATATGGTTTAGAACAACACTTTGCAGAGACAGACACGCAGGCAGGAGGTTCACAGACTTAGCAGTTCAGGGACAGGACTAAGGGCCTGAAGAACCTTCAGGTGGCTTAAGAACAACAACACAAGGAACATGAAGTTAAGACTTTGAGATGATGACTGTCCACACATAAAACATCAACTCTCCCACTGAGCTCTCAGCAGTCAACCATACAGACATTTAAACCATAGATCATAACATACAGAAAACAGCTGGAAATTGAGTGAAGCAGCATGACCCCTTTGAGCCCAGAGCCAGCTTAGAGACCAGACGAGCACTGCCTTACAACAGCGATGAGTTATTTAAACCATTCATGATGTGGCTGAAGGGCGAGGCGTTACCACTTGCTATTTTGCCCACCCTGGGTGATGAGACGAGGGTGGCATTGAGAAATGGAGATGGGGTAGTGTGACATGACTTCCTCATTCTCACTCTACTCTGGAAAAAGCAACGTAGAATGCTCCAAGAACAGAACCAGCTTAAAGTAAGAGAGGGAAGTAGGAAGCTTTGCAAGATGGACTTAAGCACCCCCACTCCCACTAGACATAAAACCTACCCCCCTGCTGCCACTGGCTTAGGGGCAGCACATATGCTCAGTGCATATCCGAAAAGGGTGCTAGGAAACACAAGCCCTTGCTTGGCTAAGCAAGCAGGAAAACCACAATGGCAGGGCTGGGGGAAGACAAGGGTTTGGGTTCAAGTGCCAGCCAGTGGAAGCCTGTTCTCATTCTGAGCCCAGCCCACAGGTCACAGCCTGTGGGAGCAGGCCAGAGCAGACATTTAGCCACCACTTCTCTGCACCTGACGTTACATTTGCATGGCAGAAAACTCTTCCAGAAAGCAGCCAAGATACATAGTTAGAGGCCAGGAAGCTTCCTAGGCTTAAGGCTTTGCAGTGCATTTACTAGCAGGTTGTCCTGTTCAGCACTGACCTAGGCAGTAGGAAAGGCACCGTGGCTCTTAAACTGCAGGTGCTGTTGGATCCAGCTACAAGAAGGGGAGGCCGAGGGCTGGAAACCTACGCTGTCAGTGCCACATCCTGAACGGGTTTTTTGCCTTGAGAAAAACAGCTGCCTAAGACCATGTGGGGGCATCCTCTTAGAATCCATCTTTATTTGTAAAAATCCACATATAAAATCTTCTGTTTCCTTTTACAAAAAAACAAAGGCACGTAAAGCTACTCAATCTCTCATCCCCATGGACTGATGGTCTGACACTTCCCCCCATTCTTCCCCCTTGCTTTCTCCTCCAGTCCATGTTTCTTCGTGCTTCCTCCAGTTTCAGCTCATTCCTGCCCAGGCACAGTTCTGCGCTTGCAAAGATGAAGTACATGCACACAGGGGAGATGGTGGAGAGGTGGCATGGGCTGTGCGTGGAATGTTCTACAGGCGCTTTTTAGTAGTAGGTCTCTTTTTCCACCCAACCTAGAAGATAAAAGGAAGGAGAAGTGAGCTTTACAGCTTTGAGACTAACGCAGAGAGCTTATTTCAGGCTCTGAAAACTTGCACAGCCATACACGTGCTAGAAAGGGACCTAGTCATATAAACTCTTGCCAGGTAACTGGGGTGCTGCAGCTTTCGGGCCTTCTCCTGACTTTTTAGAATTTCCCGAGCATTAATGCACAGAATTAATGCTTGAGAATTAAACTCACTGCATGTTAAGTGGCCCAAGTTGTCAAAGAATAGTAAATGCAGCAAAACACACACCCCAAAACACACCCCCACGAGGTGCTCAGCACCGGGGGTTCCCAAGCACACCTCAGCAGCACGAGGAGGTAGGGAAGGAAACAAAATAACAACACATTCTTACCACCAGGGTTGCGTCTGATAATGAGCTTTCTGATTTCATCGTAGAGGAATATAAGGAGGGAGTATGGGAAGGCGCAGAACCACCACGTGGGCCTGTTTGGGAGAGGAGACAATGAGAACACAGGCAGAGGAGATGCTCTTTGCCTAGAAGAGCTCTGATTTGATAGCACAGAGGAATACAGATCTTGAAGGCTGGCTAGTCCCAGCTTGCCAGTGCACCCACTCCCACGAGGCTGTGGTTCAATGAAAATGCTCCAAGCCAAGAATTACCACCTTTTTACTGCAGTAGATTAATCCACTTTTGTATATTAATTCCAACACAAGGTGTGTCACAGCACCTTTGTTCGTCTCTGTACCAGCACCTCCCCACCTATTAATCCAGCAACATTTCCTCTAAGTGCCTGTAACCTTTGTACCCACGGTCTTGCTCATTCAAACTGCGCTGCTTTCCCTTATGACTTACATGTGCTAACCTCCAGTTGCTGCAGGCACTGGGCAGATGCCAGCTTTTTGTTAGGAAATTCTAGCACTTCAGCACTTAACTCCAAACAACACTTCTGAGCAGAACTCAAAACATACCAGGAGTGGTTTTTTGTTGTTGTTTTGTTCTTGTGTTTATTTTTTTTTGTCGTGAAGATTTCATGGAAGTTAAGTGACAGTTAATCTGAGCCTAAATCCTGCTGTGAAATGTTGCAATGCTGTTGGGCAATGCTTATGCTGGCACTCTCTCAACCATTAGGATTATTAGCATGCACCAACTGATCTATCTGCACCTATGCCTCTTAAAAGATTTTGTGCTAATTCTTTGGAAGGTAGGATAAGGCACAAGATGTCATCACCAACTCTTCAGTAAAGAGGAGATAGCTGGCCTATATTTTAGAGCAATTCAGCTTGCTTTCTTTGGAGGTACAGTCCCCTGCACTTAAAAATACCCCCATACAAGTGCAAGAGTAGCTGCTCTTCTCCATCTCCCCACTCAAGTACTCTTCTTCTGTGGTCTAGCCTGCTGCACAAGAAGCGTGATACAACTTACTTGAGGGGATACATCCTTAGAGCAACATCCATCCCGGGACAGTAGGAAAGGAAAGCAGCCAGAGCAGTCTCCTCAAAGAGACCAAATATTAAGATCTTGTTCCTAATAGAAACAGGAAAGAAAACAGTCAGGCTCAAAATGCTCTTGTGGACAATATCCTAGAACCCACCCTCGCTACCACATGGTAGTGACTGGAGCCAGACTGTTCTGGGCTAGCCCAGAAGTCCATCAGGTGGGGACTGTCAGGCAGTCCAAGCTGCTGGCAGAGCTGTCAGAAGGGTCCTGTTGTGTCTCTAGAGCGAGTATTTCACAACTGCACCAACCAGCAGTCGCCTTCACCACAAGTTCAGAAGGCAGCTGGGGTTCAGGTCAGCAGCTCAAGACCTCGGCTGCTCTGTCACCACACAAAGCTGTTGTGCTGGAATATCCTCCCTGCCACTGTCATTCGAGGTGAGTTAGCTTCTACAGACAGTGTCAGCACAAGTCAGCACTCCACTCTGTCTCAGCCCAACAGACTGCAGCAGGAAGACAGGAAAGACACCTGGTGCCTTTACCCACCACCGAGGCAGACTGTTTAAGACTTGTGCCAAGATGCCCAGGCACTGCTAGGATGGTGAACTGAAATGCCACGTGCTGGGGTCCCACCCCAAATCCTCCACAGATGGCCCTACTTACTTCATTCCCTGCTGGAAGACAGAATTCCTTCGGGTCTTACAAATGATCAAGTCCGCCCACTGCACAACCACAATGCTGACAAAGAAGGCTGTATGGCAAGTGAACTCCACTATTTTCCTCTGTTCATAGGTCTAGGGAACAGACAAAGCAGAGAACATTTGTTCAGGTACATTGCTTTTGCTCTCTGGTCTGAGCACCAAGTCCAGCAGACGCATTACTGATCTGTCTGGCAGCCTCTCAGCTGTGCCATCCAAACATACCCACTGCTGTCCGTAGCTGTCTTCGACGTCGTTAATCCATCGGTCATCCCACTGGACTCTGATTCCTAGCAATCCAGAGGGCCAGAACCCATTCTCTGCCATGATTACAAAATAGGTGAAGAAACCTCCAAGGGCCTGGATCATACCTGAACGGATAAGAAAAGGGAAGAAAAAATGATTAAGCTGCCGCACAGTGCAATTAACAGAAAGTAGTTTACTGGAGGCCCCAGGCACCTCAAAAAATTGCTCCCTGTGGGGCTCAGTCTCCCAAACCAGCAGCTGTGGAACTAGTTCACGCTAACAAACTCAACTGCAGACCTTTTGCTGAGCAGTTTCTGCTCCCAACTTTGTACACAGTTACTTCTGTTTTGCTCTGTGCCGTGAAATGCATGGTACTCAAGGACAGCAGATAAAACTCCCTTTGTGTTCTCATTAAGCCTCATCCACCCCCCAGTCTTTGCAAAATACAGTCAAGAAGGTTCCCAAGGTCTGCTGCAATTAAGCACGAGCTCCCATCCTGTGAACCAGGCACGTCTCTGTAGCTGCCTTTAATCAAGGCTCCTAATGCTGTGTGTTTAGGGATATGCTGGAGAGAATCCTTTACTTCTAATTAAACTAACAATGGGATCTATGTTCCTGCTGAACAAGTCTGAACCAGAGGCGAGCTGGTTGTCAGCCAGCTCCTTTACAGTGCTATGCAATTAAACAAAATTACTGTGAAAGCGATTCAATGGATCAGGCTGCACAAGCCACCGCTATGTGCTGTAGGGGCAGGATCACGGAAAGTTCTCAAAAGCCTGAAGGTTCTGGTTTACACAGCCCAAATTTCAACCCTACCAAAATAAACACAACAGTCACTGACTCAGGACGGCGTATAACCCCCCACTACCACCGAGTCCAAGTCAGTGCCAGAGGAACCGGAGCAGCTTACCGATCTGCCCGTAGGCCATGCTGATCAGCCTTTCGTTCACCAGCTTGTCTGTTTTGGGATTTCTGGGCTGCCTCTTCATAATGTCACTCTCAGCTTGCTCGTATGCCAGGGAGATAGCAGGGACCTTTGAAGGTGACAGGTTTGCCGTTAGAACCACTTCTGTTTTTTGCTGTGCATAGCCTCCCCTGCCTCATACTTTCAGCCCGAGAAACAGCACTGCCTCAAAACCCTAGATGTGACATTTGGTAACGACCTCCACCCTCCCCAGTGTGTCTTTACATGGAACTAAAGGATGCTCAGACTTGGGAGAGCCAAGAAATAGGGAGTAGGTTCTACAGAAGTATCAAGTGGGAACTTATTTAAAACAAAGCACTCAGGAAAAACTGTATTTGAACATTTCCTTACACCCGTTTTTTTAGGGTACCTAAAAACATCCACAGTTCTTTTTGAGATAAAAAAAAAAGACATTCACCATGTCAGTGCCCAAGTCAATGCAGAGGATGGTGACCGTTCCCAGTGGAAGGGGGATGTTCGCAACGATGAAGATCAGGAAAGGTGTGATTTCAGGAATGTTACTGGTCAAGGTGTAAGCAATGGACTTCTTCAGGTTATCAAAGATCAGACGCCCTGGGGCAGGGAAGAGAAGAGCACAATCCTTGCTTATCAGGAGAAGTAGCTCACAGGCATCTTCATTGGTAACAAGGAACGACAAAGTGCTAGCGCAATAAAGTGAAGAATTCTCTTGCACATAAGAGTGCTGTACAAGGCAACAAGGACTGCGTACATCAAGCATTAAATCACCTGTTCAAAAGCAGCATTTTCTGGCCATTGCAATCCTTGTCTGCAAGGTTAACTGCCATACAGCAATATAATACTGAGCCCTGCTTGCTGCAGGTTGAACAAGAGTCCTTGGAGGTACCCCAACCCTTCTGCTCTTCTTTGAGAGGATGACCATAGGGCCAAAGCGATAGGCAAAAGGACCAAGCTTTTGTTACCCAATTGCTTTTCACTGTTAGCTGTCCCAACTGTCCGTTTAGATGCAGTTATAAACTCACCTTCTTCAACGCCAGTGACAATAGAGGCAAAGTTATCATCCAGCAGAATCATGTCAGCTGCCTGCTTGGAGACATCTGAGCCTGAAATACCCATAGCGACACCGATGTCCGCCTTCTTCAGGGCTGGGGAATCGTTCACACCATCACCTGTGACTGCTACAATGGCACCCTAGTCATGAAGAGACATAAGGCAAAGAATGAAAACATCTGTATGGTGTTTCGGACAGAGAAGGTTTCTCCTATCTTCCCCTTACCCCTTTTTAGGTTCTGATCAGGCTTGGCTTATCAGGAAGGCATGCTGCTCCCTCCAAAGATGGTGGAGGAATTACAGCCATGTTGAGCCTGAACCCTCCCCAAGCACCCCCAGAGAATTTAAGAACTAAGTGTAATTAACCTGTAAGACCTGTACACATAGGTACTAGCAATTAGCCTGACATCAGTAGCCCAATGGCTACTGACAGACTGAAGTTTAGTCCAGTCCCATTACCTGAGGGCACTGAGAAAACTTAACCCTGCTACTTCAGCAGGCAACACTGCTTGATAATTTATCAATAATTTATTGTCTAGGGATTGCTTTGATAAAAATCTTTGGTCTCCTGTCTTTTTACCTGTCGCTGACAGCCTTCCACAATGATAAGCTTCTGCTGAGGAGATGTCCTGGCAAAGACAATTTCTGTATGATGCATCAGGATGTCATCCAGCTGCTCGCTAGTCATGTCCTTCAAGTCTGAGCCATGAACAACACAAGCCTTAGCATCCCTGCAATCAAGAGACAAGAACATTGTACTTCATAAGTTAAACTTATTATATTTGTCCTATAAAGCTACAGCTATTCAGTACTCTGGATAAAGATCAACCCTTGCTGTGGGTGACTAAGCACCAATCCGGGCAGCCTCTGCACAGGAGTTTATGCATTTAGTCTAACGCTCCAAGTCCTAAAGTCAGATGAGCAGCACAAGGCAGTGCCAAGCAACAGACAGAAAGCCCCGCGAGTAGCCTAATTCTTTCTATTGCTTTTGAAAAAGGCAAGGCGTACACAAATTGTTTCCACAGCTCTTGGTCTCCCTGCAAGAGAGGAACCCCTGGCTCAGGCAGTTAGCTTCTAACATCACAAAAGATGCTCTCGTCTTCTGCCGACGATCCTTTTTCCAACAGACTGTTGATCTACGCTCGGCTTTTCAGAGAGCTCGTGCTATGCCAGCTCAGCCTATCTTACTCTCTTCAGCAACAAAAGCACATGTTATATTTAGACTGGTTTGGTACCCTGCATGCTACGGCGAAATACCACCTCTCTAACCCAGCATACCATCCCTTATAGGTCTAGGGGATTATCCGTGAAGCTAGTGACATCACGCAGTTTAGACAGGGAAATTCCTTCCCCACCCTTACAGCCAGCTGTTGATATGCTCAGTCACACAGCCCAGTGATCCCCAGCCCTGCATTGCTAGGCTGTGAAGTTACCCTCAATAAAAGGGAGAAGAATTCAGCCACAATACTTGCCTTCCCCTAACAATTCATCCCACAGGGCGTCTCTATTCACAGTTCATAAACTACATGGCTACCCTCCAGGCCAAACACAGGCTGGGTCAAGCTAAGCAACGCAGACAGCCCAGCCATTCTGCAAACAGCCCACTTCTGCCAAAGCACATTTTCTTCGGACGCCTCGGTTCTGCACTGGGCTGCGAAGTCGAACTTTAACCCCATAAAGGGAGAGAACTCCATCTTCACATTTATCCTGCGCTCACAGTTACTGACCAGCAATTCCTCGACCCAGCTCAAGTCCTGCTCCCTTTGCCTACCTGAAAGCAGACCCTGACCTGAGCCTGCAAGCAAGAGGAACAGAACTGGACGCTGAGTGCTCAAGTTCACATGTGGTGTTTCAACTCTTCTCTCAACAGTGAGAAACAGTTAAACCAGCTTGACTTTTTGTAGCCACAATCCAAAGTAAGTTGGCCAACAAACTGGTCTTTTTTTTTTTTTGAGCAGAGTTTTCCTATGAACCTCTAACTTAATAAAGAAGCTTAACTAAAATATATGTTTGGGGGCAAAACTAGATTTAACCTCTATTTAAAGATCGGAAATCACAGGAACGTGTGGGTTTGAGCACTGCTCAAAACAGTCCCTAAGCCTTTTTCTCCTAAACCACTACCTAGCTATTCTTTCCTGCCCAGTATGTAGTGCTTGTGACCTCGGTGGAGAGGAAACACTCAGCTCCAGGGGAAAAAAGTTACATCCCCCACAAAAAGAGACTCCACCCAGCCTGCTGGTTGGTTGTTTCCCCCAGCTGGGGGGCAGACCATCAAGATATGGGGCAGAGGAAGGAAGGAACTGCTGAAGTTGTCTAGATAGGGCTTACTTTGAACTACATGCACACTCAAGGCAGCTTTATGTATTCTTCACATAGCTCACAACACGTTGTGGAGGAGCCACAACAGGCTCAGCTAAGCCTAAGCCGAGCTTTTCATGTCTGGGAAGAAACGCCGACAGATTATCCGAGGCAAGGAGAGAGGCAAATACTTAATTCTTTGAAGAGCTTTAGTGTTCCCCACGAGTCAGTACCTCGGGTTTACTTGGCTGACAGGAATGTTGAGTCGAGCGGCAATATCTTCCACTGTTTCATTGCCCTCAGAGATGATGCCGACACCCTTGGCAATGGCTTTGGCTGTGATCGGATGGTCTCCAGTAACCATGATGACCTGGAACGCAAACAGACTGCCGTGAAAGCCTTGCCCCTGCTGCAGAACAGCACTGCCCAGCAGGCAGGATCCCTTGAGACTAAAGGGCCACGTGGCTTTTGTTCCATTATCGAGTCCCAGTACAGAGCAAGCCTGAAGTACAGCTAGTATAACATGTTATGCATTTGCAAGGGATTGAGGTGAAGGGAAGACAAAATTGATAACCCCGAGTCACATCTCCAGTTCATTCTCCAATTTGTGCTTTTTGTTCTCTGGTTGCAGTCAGTACTGTGGGACATACAGAACGACACCTGAGCCAAATCACCTGTTTTGGGACAGACACCACTGCAGCGTCTGCCAGTGTCCTACAAGTCTGGAGATCTTGACCAAATACTTCCCTTCACCCACAATATAGCCTCCCACACAGCATGGGAAGAAGCCCCTCATATCCAGAGGTTTAAAGCTAGGCAATCTCAGCCCAGAAAGTAGCTACCTTAATCCCAGCGCTTCTGCATTTGCCAACAGCATCTGGCACAGCAGCACGAGGAGGGTCGATCATCGACATCAATCCTACAAAGCAGAGTTTGTCTACAGGAAAGTTCACTTCGTCCGTGTCGAACTGGAAGCCTTCGGGGAACTGGTCATCAGGCAGAGCCAAGTGACAGAATCCTGCAACACATCAAAACCCACAATTATTCTGTTCCTACACATCAAAGAGGCAGAGAGTGTGAATGTTTATTGCACTCCTGTTCTGATAACTAATAGGCTGTTGCTGGGTGCCCAAACACAGCTTGGTTCCCACGTAACAGAGCAAATCTAACATGATTTGACCCCACGGAGACTGAAGGGCTCAAACACTTTGCTTCACTGTGATCCAAGCATCCCAGCTGCTGGGCAGGACAAGACCCTGCAGGCTGCCCTGTAGGTTAAGAGCTAAAAGCAGGACTGTTCCTGTATGTATCACTGAAGTGACCTTGACTCAGCACTACGCACTTCATTCCTGCAGTATAACGAGCGCTTTGTTTAATCTGTGGGGTCTCTGCACCAGAGCATGAGGGACAAGCCTTTATTTATTATTAAAGCTGTTTTTCTTACCCAACACTCTCTCCCCAAGGCCTCCCAGCTCAAGGTAGGCATTCTGAAAGGCATCTTTCATCTCCTCATCCAGTGGTTGCTCTTTGCCGTGAAGAAGAATGGAGCTGCACCGATCCAAGATCCTCTCTGGAGCACCCTTCATCACCAGCAAGTAACGGGATTCTGAAGGGTTTGCGTTCTTGTGGATAGACAGCTAGGATGGAATAAATTAAAGTTTTAGACATTTACTTGTGACCTTCCCAGCACAGCACCATTACTAAGTTTTTTGTGATTACAGCAGCAAAAAAAAAAAAAAAAAAAGTTTTTAAGTAGTCTTCATGCAAATTTACATAAGTACTTCACACAGTGTCTCCCACTCAAGAGAGAAATGAGAAACGAGCTTACCTGGTACTTGTTGGTAGAGTTAAAAGGTATTTCCACCACTTTGGGATACCTCTCTCTCATCTCCTTAACAGAACCACAGCACAGTTCGATGCATTTCAGAAGTGCTGACTCAGAGGCATCCCCTGCCACTGCTCTCTGAGGAAAAAAGACAACTATCAAAGGGCATGTTCCAGTGAACTCACCACAAGATCAGACATGTCCAAAAAAAAAAAAAAAAGTGCATTCAGCTCAGCCCAGTCCCAGGTTCTACATAACATGAGAGCAGTAAAGAATATTTCCATCACCCAGCCCTGACAAAGAGTTGCATTTCAGAACGCTTGGCCTTTTGTCTGAGAGAATAACAGTCTCCTGATACCAAAGCCAAGCCCTTTTAAATGGTAGAAAGTCAGCTAACCAGGTGAAGTCAGAAAGAGGATGAATGGTGAACTTTAAGAACTGATATGAGGGATTTCTCAGTCATATACTGCAAGCTGTTTGCCACGAAAATGCAAATGCAAGATGAAAACTAGTGACACGCATAGAGATAGATACTCGTATGCCCTCTCCCACCCCAAAACAAGATCACCTTAACAAGCCTCTGGATGAGAAGGTTTAATCTATTCCCTTCCCCACTCCCCAAAGTAAAATCAGCACTGGTAGAGACTGCAGGTGAGTTCTCTGCCTTGGAGACCTGTGTGTGCTCTGTGTCCTGCCTGAATTTCCTTTGCTGTAATTTAAACTACTTCTTGCCCTTCTGTCTCCTTTGTCCATGAACATTTTTCTTCTATTTTTACACTACTATGCTGGTACCTAAAAACTTCTCTAGAACTATTCTTTGCTCAGTCTTCCTTAGACTGGAGGAAGTCCAGCTCTATCTTCCATGTTAAAAAAGACCAGAAGTTACAGCCAGGACTGCTATGGGAAAATAAATTGCCCTATTATTTCCATCACCACATTATGATAACATTCTTGGGAAGAAGTTTATGACATAATATGACTAATATTTGACAGATTATGAGCATTGTACAGTTAATTCGGCCCTGGCTTGGTCACAGTTCAGAATCAGGAATCCATGTTGATGTTATGTTGGCATTTGCACCCGTGCTGAACCAGCAAAAACTTAAAAAGCTAAGACTTGCCAGTGAGAACAGAATGGCCAAAGACAAACAGTCCCACGGCTGCTGCTCCCACAACTCTAGTGTCCACTTATCCTGGCTCCCAGAACTGGGTGTTTGTGGCTTTTAAGTATATACATGACAGAAACAGCAGTTCTTGGAACAGTTGGACAGGGGAAGCTGCCTAGAAAAAGTTTCTGGCCCTTCCTAGTCCTTTCCAATGTATCTGACGCCCCAGACAAGCCAGAGATAACAGCGGATGGCAAAGAGCCTGCTGTGGAAAGCATTTTCCCTGTCCTATCTCCTCTGCCCACAGCAAATCTATAAGGGCACTAGACTGCAGATGAGACCAAGAGTTACAGATGTCTCTATTTCAGAGTTCCTTAAGCCCTAATGAAATTTAATCTCACCGCCATTATGGGGAAGGAGCAATGCAAGCATTTCTTTTGGGAACTCACCTTAAGGATTGGTACGTTTTCCTGATTGGCCTGGAACACGGCACGGTTGCAGAGACCTGCAACTCTGGACAAAGCAGTCCAAGTAGCTGAACTCTTGTCAAAGGAAGCACCTGAAAGCAGAGGAAGGATGTCAAAAAACAACCAAAAACCCACACAAACACAACACTCCATAGGCTTAACAGTGAGAAGTCTGTACCTCATGATCAGGAGACTCACCTAGAGCCTGTTCTTGTCTCACTTTATCCATCACCCCATGAAACACCCCCCAAAGAAACAATGCTTAAGTACATAGCGAGATAATGCTTCTCCCATGCTGCCTCTTAAGATGGCTTCAAGGGAGATGAAGTGAACAGCTAACTGATAAGCTGATGTACTTTCCACAAAGAGGAATCTTCTGTGTTTATTTCTACTGCAGCCAAGCCAACCGTTGCCAAGCCAGAACTAAGTGCTTCCAAATAACACTTTATTTATAGCTTGTTACTTTGCACTAGCGTTAAAGACTAAGAACAATAAAGCAGCTTTAAGTGGTTGGGACAAGAACAATGTTTTGTAGTGGTTGGGGGAGCAGGGCAGAGAACAGCAGCCCCATTGGAGAAAGGTTATGCTGGTAACATGTTGCAAGCACAACCTTTCACAAGGTAGATGACAGCTAGAAAACTCCTGAATTTGGTTGTACTTACTAAACAGTTCTGGAGAGATAAGTACCTCTCAATAGCACAGCATGCAGAGATTTCAGATTCTTATCAGTATTTGGAAGAAACTTCCTGCTCGCCTCTTACAGAGGCTTCATTCATTGCTACCACAACCAGGACGTTCTGGGAAAACCCCTGTCCAGGAGCAGCTGTCTACTTCGACATGGGAAATTTCAGTCCACGTCTAGTCTCAAGGAATTCATTATCAGCGTCAACATCTCTTCTGTCCACTTTTAAAGCTGCATACACAGCTTAGGATGAGGCAATTTGGGATATATTTTGGCAGAGGTAATCAGGTACTGTGAAGTACTGAACAGCAAATATGCCTGTCCTGTTTGTGGAAATAAGGACCTGAACGTTCAAGAGGTTAAAATTCCAATGGACTGGTTTGATGCAAAAGCAACCAGAGGATTTTTTCCTGTTTATGGATTTAGGTAATCCGTTTACGGATTAAACAGAACCTGTGGTATAGTGCAAAGCTTCCTAAAATTCACCACAAGCCTTTTAGCAAATCATGATAGGAGTCCCTGCACCATGAACTTCACTTGCACTAAAGAGCTGGAAGCACAGGCTTTTACACAAAACCCTTTTTTTAAAGAAAGAGATGCCTCCAGCACAAAGAGATGGCCTTACCACTCTGGTTCTCTGTAGTATCAGCCTCATGAATCTGATTGTCAAACCACATGTGCGCAACTGTCATGCGGTTTTGTGTCAGAGTGCCTGTTTTGTCAGAGCAGATGGTGGATGTGGATCCCAGAGTTTCCACAGCTTCCAGGTTCTTCACCAAGCAGTTCTTGCGAGCCATACGCTTGGCTGTTAGTGTCAGACATACCTGGAGACAAGGAATAAAATGGGTTAGATATGTTTGTGCACTAATACCATGCCACCCCCACTCACTGTGGGCATGGAATGACAAAATTACATGCCCTGCAGTGATTCCTATTGCACACCAGCAGGGTGAGCATGAACTGCAGTGCTTAGGGCCAGCTCTTATACCACGTTTAAGTGACAGTTTTCTCCAGAAAATGGCTTAAGGTTTCAGCCTCCTGTTCCTCGGTGTATTAGGAAGGAGATAACATGCCCTGGAGTAACATTTTAGTGTTAACTAACGTTTAACATTACAGTTCCCTAATAAGAGGAACTCTCAAAATAGGTAGAGGCAGGCCACGTAGAAGAAAGCCCAAAACAGCCCTGGAGATAGGGCAGCGACTTGCTCGTATAGGAAGCAAGCAGACCCAGCTGCTTTCTTGCCAGAAGCTCTTTGGGGCTGAAGCTCCCAAGTGTTCGTTTCCTGCTTCAGCAGCTGCTCTGCAGCCTAAAGCTGCACAGAAGCCTCTAGACCTGTCCACCAGGACCCTCTACACAGCTAAGAGCACCTAGATTCTCCTCTACCTATATGGGAAACCAAGCCTATAACAACCTCTACCAGCTCCTGGATCAAAACTGGGGACAACAACAAGACTTGCTAGATGCTCTGATAGCCCTTCAGGACTGGGGGGCTGGTGTGTGTATGTGGGTATAAAAAGCAAGCAAATCAACACTTAGAGTAGAAGGACCCCTCCCCACCACAGAAAAAGGGAGAAAAGCCAAATTCAGGACTCCTAGCCTTACTCACTTCATTCTACAATGCCAAGCCTCTGTGCAGGTCTAATTCAAGAGACCCACCTTCATCAGATAAACAGCTGCAGAACCAGAGACTGATTCAGGCAACTGGTCAGAATACACTGAATTTATAAAACCTAACCCTGCACAGTCACCACACAGAGAACCTACAGAACTTTAGGTTCACCTCTGCAAATACATGCTGAGCACGAAGCACTCAATTTCCTGAAGAACCATACAGTTTATGCATTAAGTCAACCTCTTCTTCCAGCCTCACTCACCGTGACAGTTGCGAGCAGTCCCTCAGGAACGTTGGCAACGATGATTCCTATAAGGAAGATTACAGCCTCCAGCCAAGTGTATTCAAGGATCAGCGAGAGGATGAAGAAGCTGACACCCAGGAACACAGCCACTCCAGTGATGAGGTGGATGAAGTGCTCAATCTCCATGGCAATGGGAGTCTTTCCCCCTTCCAGTCCAGATGCCAGACTGGCAATACGGCCCATCACAGTGCGGTCCCCAGTCCTAATAACAATGCCACGGGCAGTGCCTAGAAGAAAGACAGGCTTTAAGACAATCTCCCTTCCCAATACCCTAAACTGAGCTTATTCAGCCTGTCCTACAGTTTAGCAAGCTTCATCCAAGATAATGCAGGTAGGCAATCCAACAGGCCAAGGCCTCCCACCACAGCTTTAAATTTAGTCTCCAGAAATAAACGGGGACAAGGGCTACATAAGATTTATGCATGAGTGGCCATGCTGTATGCCCTCTCCCTTCTAACCCAGGGAATCAAGAATGCACTTGGTTCAAGTACCAGTTGCATAAGCAATTAATGGGAGAAAGAGGTCTTCAAGAAGTGGATTATGTCCTCCTCCCTCCCTTTAAAGGAGAAGTCCATTTTCTCTTCCCAAGTTTCTTAAAGATCAAGAATATTCCATGGTACTGCAGGCTGTTTTGAGTTTTTTTGGAGGTGGGACAGAATGTGGAGCTTCCACACTAGTGGACACCCTGTGATATGGAAAATATGCTCTGGGCTGCAACATGAAGAGGGCCTACCACTGTAGTTGGAGCTACTACAGAAGTTTTGCCAGAAATGTTTGAAATTCTGGATTTCTGCAGTAGCTTGTTAGCTTGAGTAGCACCTCAGCCTAACCCTCTTTGTTCAAATAATGGTACTTGCATTTCCAGCCTGCTCTCGCATGGTAGGATTGGACTAACAGCAAGTACTCTAAACACATACAACGTTTGCACTGCTTACCTATGGAGTTCACTCCCTAGCACTGTTAATACTTTAGCAAACTAGGAAGAGCCACGTACCTTCCACACAGTTGGTGGAAAAGAAGGCAATGTTCCTGGTTTCCAGTGGGTTCTCGTTGGAGAAGTCTGGAGACCTGGTCTGAGGCTCTGACTCGCCAGTAAGTGAAGAGTTATCCACCTGCACGGAGGAGAGTACTACTTCATACACAGCCGGACAGATGATTCAGCAGCGACAGCTGATAAAACACCAAGCACTCCCCAAACGTTCCTCTTTTACCCCACCACTCAACCCATTCACAACATAGAAGAAATTCTTAGAAACCAGACTAATTCATCATTCTCCACTATGAAGCTTTCAGACAGCCTGTTGCTGCTCACCTTGCAACCATGTGCAGATATGATCCGAAGGTCAGCTGGAATTCTGTCTCCTCCTTTCACCTCCACTAGATCTCCAACTACAACACCTTCCGCATTGATGCTCATCTTCTCACCATTTCTGACTACAAGAGCTTGCTGGAAGGCAGTAAAGAAACAACTTACGTCAAAAGCAACTCTTAAGAAAGGTGCTCAAAATATCCAAGCATCCTAAAATAGTTGTCTCATGCGTCTAAGGAGCTTTCTGCTTGTGCTAACATGTTTATCTCAGATACATTTAAGCAAGATAACTATTCCTGTTTTCTCACTACTTAAATTCCTTGTTGCCAAGGTGACTGTAAGATGGTTAGGTATGATACAGACTGTCCATGTCCTCTGAGTTTTAGCGCTCATTTATCACACCAGTTACAGAATTCCCTACACTATCAAGAAAGTTATAGATTTTAATAAGCTGGTGGAACTCACAGGGTGCCAGGAACTGCCCTGGATTATTAGCATAATTACTTGGAACAGAAAGAGGAACTAGCGTTCCCCTCAACATTAAGAGGGAGAAACCCACACTAACAGCTTGGCACAAGACATCTTGCCTGCTAAAAGCCAACACACAGCATTCACCGCAAGGCATTTTGTGAGTGAAGCTCATGTTTAATACAGTTAATAACTCTGAGCAAGCGTGGCAGATCAAGGAAACGAGGTATTCCATACCTGAGGCACCATGTTCTTGAAGGACTCCATGATCTTGGAACTTTTTGCTTCTTGGTAATACGAGAAACAGCCAGTAATGATCACCACAGCTGCCAACACAATACCTAGGTACAGCTACAAGGAGCAGAGAAAGTGATTGAGAGCGTGATCTGCCTGAAAGGCTTCCAGCTCGTCCAGATAAATTGCTTGGTATTTAAATGCCCCATTACAAAGCGTGGAGGTAATTGCAGTCTCCGTACATTTTGTACACAAAGGCTGTCCACAAGCCACTGTTGTTAACACAACATGAAGGAAGTCGGCTGTCCATTTCATTACATGGAAGCACTCCAAAACGTGTTAAGCTCACCCACTGAATTTCCCGTACTTCTGGGAAAAGCTTCTGGACTGAATGCCTAGAGGAAGCCGATATGCTTTAAGCCAAACAAGCTGCTCAGCCTGCCTTGAAGGTAAAGCAGACATTTTTTTTTACTTACGTTATCTTTGTTGGGCTCCTCCTCCATCACGCTTTGTATGCCGTAAGCCAGAAAACACAGAATAGCACCAATCCACAACAGGAGTGAGAACCCTCCGAAGAGCTGCCGACAGAACTTCACCCATTCAGGAGTGGTGGGTGGGGGCGTGAGGGTATTTGGGCCATCACGAGCCAAAATCTCAGCTGCGCGCGCAGTAGTCAAACCCTAGAAGAGAAGTTCCTTTTAGAGGCATCGTGGCAAGACTGGCTGGGGAAAACAGTTTTAAATTTGTTCATCTTCTGCTTGAGAATGCAGGTAGAGGCCTGCCACAGCAATAAGGAGATGCTAACAGATAACGGGAACCTCCACAGCTGCCAGGGCTCTGCAACAGAAGTGAAGGATGTGAAAGCTGCATGCTAGGAGAGGAGCTACAGGATGTTGGATGCTCCTTGAGGAGCCTGCACATCATATGGCTACAACACAGAAGGCAGGCAAGGGAAGAGTGCTACAGCAGCAGACTTTGATCACTGATGAACAGCCCAGTGCAATCCATCCTATCAAATTATGGAACAAGTGAAAGCTGGGGACTATAAAGATGATGACACTTGAGATTGTCTTTCCAGGAAGTTCAGCTTTTAGAAGCCAAGGTCTTTGACAGAAGTATGCAAGCCTTCTGTAACAGAGACAGAGCAGACTTGTTGCTGTATGCAATCCTGAAAAAAACACACACCTTAAAGCAAACAAGAGCAAAGGTGCACTGCAGAATCACTGCAGTGCTTCTGCACTAGCCTTTGAGGTTAGCCAGAACATTTGCACACCTGTTACTATAAAAGAGTTGAAATTTTTAACTACTGCTAACCATCACCAAGTCTCTGGCATGTACTAGCTCACTAGATTACATCTGCAATATAACAAACATTTGCCTTTATTACAAGCTCCTAAGGGAAAAAAAAAAATCCAAGAATCAGTTTGACCTTGGAACAATTCAGAGGCAGATAACAGTGACTTTGTTAGAGAACAAAGTCACTAAAGCACTGCATGCTGGCTGTACAGTGGGAGGACGAAGAGGAGTATTTGTGAGCTCAACAGTTCTCTCAAAGCCTGGGAAACTTCACTGGAAGAGCAGAGATTAAACAAAAAAAAAAAGGAAAAGAAACAGACCACCCAGATCTCCCTTTGTGAAGTGCTCTGAGCCGAGACTGCTCCTTTTCCAATCAGGGCAAAGAGGGAGGGAAAACAAAGTCTACTTACCCGACTCAAGTCTGTTCCATATTTACGATGAAGTTCATCAAGGCTGAGCTTGTGGTCATCCTGAAAGACAAGAAACAGATGAGGGGTGACCACACTACCTGCAGATTGGTCAGCACAAGCTCAACGATTCACCCCATCAACAGGCTTCCCATCTGTAACACCTCAGAGACTGAAACTCTTGTCACAGAGACGATAAGCTAGAATCTTCCTATCTCGTTCAGGAACTCAAAGCAGTCTCCTCTTCAGGATTCTTCTGGATATTTGGGCACAACATAACTTTTTAAGCAATCCCTGATTTTATCAGGGCGGTCTATCTCACAACAAATTATGTGAAGCCCCTTTTTTTTTTTTTGTTTTGGTTGTGGGAGATGGGGGGGGTTGGAAAGGAAAGTGTACATAAGATTAGCTGTGTAATTTCACATGTTTAAGTAACGCTTCCAGCTTAAATAATGTTTCTCCCCCAAAGAGGCTCTGTTTCACAGCCAGCTTTTTTTTTTTAAAATGAAAATAAGTACACAGCAGTATCTCACTTAAACAGTGGCACTGGAAAGAACACATGCCTTAAGCTAGCATCTCCACCAAACACAAAACCTGATCTTTGAGCAAGTTTTAGCAGTCCCTCTCCCTAACAAACAGGGCCAAAAAAAAAAAAGTGAGCCCAGTCTCCACACACAGCACAGAAATAAAGCCTGTATCAACTTCAAGGCGAGCAGATCTAAGCCACGTGATACTCATGCATATGTACAGCATCATCCACCATTCACAGATGGGGATGGCAGACGCTCCTCACGTCCTCACACACGATTAAGGAGTACTAATACTGAGGTCAGCCTGAGCTGAGGCCAACAGTAAATGGAGTTGTACAGATTCCACTCCTCAGCTGGAATGAAAACAGCAGTCTCACCCACATGACAGCACATAAAAGTACTGCTGCTCTCCAGATAATGCTTGCCTGGGTGAGGAGAAGCAGCTATGCTTTGCTGCGTGTAACCCAGACTGTTCTGTGTCAAATGCTTTTGAGAAGTGATGTTTTCAGGGCCATCGTGATGCTGAAACGCTCACAGGATGTCAAGTTTGGAGACAGAGGGGATGGGAAGGGAAATGAATGCCTTCCATGCTGTCAGCTCACCAGCACTTTTCTACAAGAAGCCACGTGAGGCACAAGGCTTTGTGAACACTCTTAAAGCTGCTCTTTCCACCCCTTACAACTCTTACCATTGAGACTTCCTTCTTAAGCTCATCCATGTCCCTCTCCACCTTCGCCCCCTTTTTCTTCTTTGCGCCATGTTCGGATGTTGCAGTAGGCTCATACTTGTCTCTTCCAGCCTGCAAGAGAAGACAGAGTACTGTTAAGAAACACCTACACCCAGCTTCTTCAGCAGCAGATATGAGCCATATACACAAAATTGCCAGGCGGACAATAATTATGTTTGTGTTTTTTGGTTTTTTTTGTTGTAACTTAAGTTACACCATTTTATTAAAGAAAAGAGTTAGCGAGCAGCTCGGTCTGCCCAGCAGCATCGCAGCCTACAGCCAGACATTTTACAAGTCTGGCTGGGAGGAGAGCGAGCTGCATGCTATGCAGCCAGCCTTGGTGTGCGAGCCCCAGCTCAGGCAGAAAGTGATGAAGAACAGAAGAAACCAATTCCTGAGTGCATACGTACGTTCCCTTCAAGGCATTAACTCCTCCTTCCCCCTGCTCAGCCCTCCACATCCTCTGGCAAGGAGCAGCCTATCAACTGGAGATAAGTAAGAGGTGGTATCTCTAACTCAAATTTGGGGGAATAAGTTCCAAACACTTTCATTCTCAGTTTGGCGCTCGAGCTGAGCTGTTACACAACGGAAACCTGCTTTCAATTTATGGAAATCTGTCCAGTAAGAACGATATTCAGAGCAGCTCACTTTCACAGCCCTGATCCGTGCTCAGTCCTGCTTCAGCTTCAGAGAAGCAGACGATTTGCTTAAAGCCTCTGTATTCAGATGGTTTTTTATTCTCTTTACTCGTGGTTAATTTTACATTGAATCACGCAGAGACTCGGATCTTAAATGCAAATGAGCATCTAAGGACAAAGAAAGCATGAAGCAGCAAATACAGGCATCACTTGAGACCAAAAAAACTACAAGAAACTTGGACAGCCTGCAAGGTATCGAAGCCAGGCACCAGCACGGCCTCACAGAGCAGTTCCTCCTTTAAGTACTCCATAGGCTCATTCCCAACCCTCACAAGCCTCCAATAGCTGCTTTCCTCCCCCCTTCCCTCCGTGCAGGGCCTACGACATCCTGCCAAGTTTCATGCGATGACATTTTCACCTAGTAAGATCTCCGAGAAGTACTTTGAGATGAAACAGCCGCCAGCAACACCTCAGTCAAACCAGTAACAAGATTAAGGGGAGGTTTCAAAGGCGCTGCCTTGCTCTTTGCACGAGTGCCTCAACTCACAAGTCGGATTCCTGAGAGTGGTCTGGACACAGAAACTATTGCTGGGATCCAAGAATCATCCTGTTCAGCAGCAAGCCCAGGAAACTTATTTTTATTATTACTTACTGCAAGAGAAGCAGAAAACCAAACTAAAAGTGAAACTACACTAAAAAAATAATCCAAACAAAAAATAATCACAGCTTCCCTGCAAAAAACCATCGGGCACATCTAGACAAGGATTTATATCGTTCTAAGAAAGCTTTGGGCACATCACACTGCAGCCACGTTCACACATTTCATGTGTACGGAGGAATTCCTCCTTACCCTGGTCAGCAAAGGTGGGCTTTGCATCCCCTGCATGCAGCTGCAGAGCTGTGCAGTGGAAGCGGTTTTGAAGAAGTGGAGCAGAGTCTATTGGCTGTTTGCCACCTCCCAGCCAGGGAAACGAGACACACAACTGCAGATTGTCAGCATTCTTGACATTCTCCTCTTCCCTGTACCTAAACTCCCATTGCACTATTTCAAAAAAAAAAAAAAAAAAAAAGCGCGAAAGCCACAGAACTTCAAACAGCACAGTCCTCGCATTCCAGCATCCTAAGAATTTGCCATGGGGCAATTCACAAAGTCACCGTGAAGCTTCTCTCTCTTTCCTTCAGTCTCCGAAGGAAACAACTTCGACCGCTGCTAGATCTCTGGCAGGCAAGTCCAAAACAGTCCCCCACAAAACACATGCTTCTTGATTACTGCTTTAAATAAGTGACTTCTAACGAAGGTGAAGAAGCCGGAGCCCGGATTGGCATGCCAGCACCTCTGGCTTCACCCCTTCCCCACCAGCAAAGCATGGCAAGCTCTTGGGGACTTCCACAACAAGTACAGTGGCTTAGCCCACTGGGGCAGCAGTGAATATAGCCCGAAAACACAGGAAGCTTTAGCTCTTGCAGCTGCAGAGACAACCTGCAAGGAGGCCAACATGAAAAGGCTCACCACCCTTGTTCACGCATGATTTGCTTAGAAAAAAAAAAAAAAATCAAAAGAGCCCAGCATCAGCTGCAGGCAGGACAAAAAGCAGACAGTTACTTGTTTCTGTAAGAACCCAAGTACTTGCTAGCCTACCAGCTTCTCAGTTTAAGAAGAAAAAAAAAAAAGCACAGTACCTTCCCTTGTGTTGCTTACTACCATCTCCCACCCTTACAGAAAAGGTGGGACAGTAATATTGGACTCAGCTCTGAGCTTCCTGCTCTGTCGTTCAAACGTGACCTTGAGGCACGGATCAAAGCACTTGCCCCTGGTCTCTGCCCTCAGGGCAGCTGGCAGAGGAACCTCACAGCTCCACAAAGGCTTGCCCTGGGACAAGGTGTCCCTCCTGCCCCTCAGCGCTGGAAGATCTCCCTGCTCTCCCCTCCTTTTCCTGCCAGACATAAGAGCAAGCCTACGGTAGTCCTGACCCCACATCTTATCAAGATGCGAGCACACGGCCTGGACACAAAGGAAGGTCTGTCTCATCAGAAATGTCACATCTGTTACTTTGCTTAGCTGAGGAACACTTCTGACTCATCAAAAGTGCCACAGAAGAAAAAAATAAAAGAAAAACACAACTTTTTCCTTCCCTTATACGTTTTTTTTTCTCCATTGGCTTAGGCAGAACAGTTGTCGACATCGGTGTAAGAAGTCTTACACATCCCCCAGAAAACCCTATTGTCTTTGAGGCAACTTATGCTTTTCCTCTCTGGACTAATTGAGCCATTCATGGCTGATGTCTTAAACACAAGCCATGATTGACCAGGAAACGGGAGGGGTGCAAATCAGCAGACAAGTTCTGAAGTATCCTATTCTGCCATTGCCTAATCCACCAAGCAGTGTCAAGAATAAGCCAAAACAAATTAAGCCGTCTCTGGAGGCCTGCTCTGTTCTAGTACTTATGTCATTACAATCAACTGCGCATAGAAAACAGAAAAGTTACTGTCTTGCTGCCTCATGGGACAACCTTCAGTAAATATATTAAGCAGATGAGTCATGATACTGACCATCCCTACTGGACTGGAAATGTTGCTCCATGACCTGTGCAATACTAAGAGAGGGACATGAATGCCTTCCCAGGATCCTTCTTACTGCCTCCCAAAAAGCAGCGTTCAACCTCCCATCTTTCATCAAAAGCCCAACTGCCCGCCTCAGCTGAGCAGGCTCTCAGCAGCCAGGACAGGACGAGGCAGCTCTTGACAGCCAGCAACTGCTCATCATGAGCTCTCCTCACCGAGATTCAGCAAGCAGACAGCTGCCTCCCTAACTATGGGAGGACAAGCCTTCCCCGCATGGCCAGAGGGCTAAAACTTGCAAGGGTTTTCATCCTCAAGGTTGAACGGGGACTATTCACATGCCTCAAGTCTTCTCCACACCCTGGGACAAACATTTCTTCTCATGGAGCTGCTTGAAGAGCCAGGTGCAGAACTGGCTTTCCAAATACCAGAGTGTTTTTCAGTGCTGTATTGCTATAAACTGTAGCAGTGCCATCTCCTACAGTTCTTTATGTGGCATATTAGTGCATCTTTACAGTCAAAGACAGCATCTCCGGTGTCTGACACACACATGAAGACCAGAGGAGCTGGTACCTTCAGCAACCCCTTGGGAAGGGCTGGGTGAAGCACAACCACGCAGCTTTCAGTGTGTCAGGACCCCATACAACCTGTCAGAAACCTTTTTATCCTGTCACACTGCTTTGAGGAAGTATGCGTTGACTAGGCCCAGCCTTTTCTTTGGCCAAAGGAATAGCCTCTCAGCATACCAATAAGAAGTGGGAGTGTAAGACGTAGGTAGAGCAACATTGAGATTTCTTAATTGCACCAGATGATTGCTTTGATTTGCATAATTTCCCCTCAGTTGGTGTATTACACAATACACCTTCCTAGTTCCTGACAGGAGAAGAAAACTTAACCTGGGGTTCAGGCATTAGTATCGATCCCCAGAAGCCACTCCGAGCATGCAGTAATGACCATCCACCCTGCGAGCGTAATGAGGACAGAGTCTGCGGACAGAGATGAAATCCTGCCTGCCTGCCCTCCTCCCCTGATAATGCACATACCCAGGCAGCTCACGGCCCTCCCATTGCCATCTAAAGTAAAACAGCCGCTCCACTCAGCTGCTCTTCACAGCCGCCACACACAGGGAGCTTGTTCTCACACACACACACGCTCTTACTTTCTGTTCAAGGCCAGGCTCCCATGGGAAGGAGGTTTCCTTTTTGGGTGCCCTAAGTCAGGGCAAGCGCACGCTGTTGAACTGTGCAGTCACACCCTGCCCTTTTTTTCCCACTACCTTGCTCTTTCACATCCCTATTTTTTTCAGAGAGTCCTAGTTACCGCATTTTCTCCCTGCTAAATGCGAGAATCTTGTGACTGGAGGAATAATGCAACAGTGTGTAGCTGCCCCAGACTTCCCGGTACTATGCTGCTGGGTCGGTTCCAAGCCAATTGTTTACTATGCACACACAACCCACGTAATTTGAAGTGCAAATGAGCTAGCTATATATATATATATATATATATATTAGAGCTAGCCTTCTATATTAGAGAGCACTTAACTCCCATTAGTGAAGGCAAGATGGCCTGAGCCCCCGAAGCCTGTGGCAATGCTGTCACACACAGAGTTAAAAGGTTTAAAGCATCCAGAAGGCTGCATCGATGTCTCCCCCCAAAAAAATATTAATTATATTTGAGGTGAGGTTATCGTATGTATTACCTGTTGCCCACTAGCCTGAAATGAAACGTGCAGGGTTACCTGACTACAACAGGACTTCACACCAAGGCAAGAGAGCAATCCTCTCAAGCTCCCCCCCCCCCCCTGCGGGCTCCTCAAACCCTTCTCCAAACAACCATCCTTTCAGCCGTGTTCCTCCACCTCTCCTATTCGTGCTGTTGTGTCAATACCACTGGTTGTACCTCACATGGATGAGGACAATGGGGAATCAGCCAGTGTTTGAGCAGTGCCTGTAGGCAGCAGGCAGGGACAGGGCTGCCGCCACTGTGCCTCTGGGCACCTCACAGCTCCGCCCTCCACGTGGAAGGGCACATTTTGTTTCTGCTCCCCAGCCGGCCATGTAAGCTTAAATATCCAACTTCAAGTTCCCACTTCTGTTCTCAAGAGCCTTCGACTGCGTTTAGTTACGAGATATAATCTGGATTAAGGACTTCTCGCTGCGGGCTGAAGGCTGGAAGGAAGCCGGGGCTGACACAGCGCCTTGCGAGCTGCACAGCATGCTGGGAGGCTTTTATCAGCCCAATTAGCAGGATAGACATGATAAAGTCATGAATGATCACCTTCCTTATGCCACCAAGCCTTACGAGTAGCCGCGGGGGCAGATAAGCGAATGGGCGCTAATAACCAGCCCTTTATCCTGTCACACCCCCCCCCCGGGGGCCTGCTGTCTCAACAAGTCTAAAGTACTCCTGCAGAGGCCCGGAGCCACGAGAGGGGCTCCAGAAGGGCAGGAGATAACCGCAGCCTCCCCCCGCAGCAGCCCGGGGACCCCCCCCTCGGACCCCGCAGCGGGCTCAGCCCCCCGCCCCGTAGGCGCGCCCCGCGCTCCCTCCGCGGCCATTGCCCACACCGCCCTCCTGCTTCGTCCCTCCCTGCTCCTCCCTTCTCTCTCCCGAAGCACACGGCAACCCTGCACCGGGATGTGTCGGGGCGGCCCCGGCGCCACCCTCCGGCAGCAGCCCCAGCGAAAACGACATGGCCGTCATCTCCTTTTGCTCCTGCTCCTCCCAGAGCGCACAAAGCAAGGGGCGAGATGCAGCCGGGCAGCCCACCCCCCCCAGCCGACAGAGCAGCCCCCTTTTTATCCCCGCAGCCCCCTCCCCGGAGCAGGAGCAGCAGCCCCCCAGCCCCGCCGCTCACCCCCTTGCCCATGGTGCGGGGCGGCGGCGTGCGGACCACGCGGCAGGCGACAAGGAGCGGGGCTCAGCGCAGCCCAGCAGGTGCCGACCACCCTGCTCCTTCAGCGGCTGCTCGCTCTCTCCCTGCTGTCCCCCTCCTTGTCGTCGTCGTCGTTGTTCTTCGCTCGCCCACCTCCGGCACCGCTGCTCCAGCCGCAGCTCCAAATTCCGCCGGCTTCCCGCCGGATAAAGAGCCCCGGCTCGTCTGCACCTCCCACCTCCCCGTCCTGCATTGTGTCGCCCCGCCCCTTGCGGGTGGGGAGCCATTAAGCTCGGGGGCAGGTTTTTAGGGGGGAGCCGTGCCCACAAAGCGGCTCCGGGGTGCTTTCAGGCTCCCTTCCACCGCGCCTCGCCCAGGGGAGCGGAGCCCCGCGGGGGGCCGTGGGCTCCCGCTTGGCTCTGCCCGTGGCAATGCCGCTGGAGGGCGCTGTACTGGCTCCCGCTGCCGCCGCCGCCATGTCGGGTCGGGGCGCGCCGCTGCCCCGTGAGGGGTCGCCCACCGGGCTGTGTCCCCTCACAGGCAGCCGTGGGGACCCCCGACGGACCCCCGACGGACCCGGGGAGCCTGCCGTGACGGGCTGGGTGCCTCCCCGGGGCCCCCGACTGACCCTGCTGCTGCCGTCGGGCTACGCTGGGTAGACGTGGCGGCCGAAGTGTTTTCACACCTCCCCAGGTTAAAGCTCGTTGTTTGTGCTAGGAGATGGATAAATGCTGGTCAAAACCGCAGCTTTAACGCTCTGTGATGACTGCAAACGGCGGCCGGGGCCACAGGGAAGAGTTATGGGGTGTATTTCCATGCCCTCTGCTGCCCAGAGCACTTAACGATGTGGTGATACCCATAGTTGCTTTACACTCAAAAACATGGCAAAGAGATGCAGAAGCTGTAGCTCAGAGCATTTGATCCTGACTTCTCTCTTTACACTCTGGCAAAGACAATCAGTTCATGATCTTTCTTATTTTTGACAGCTTAAAAGAACCATCAGGACCCTCTATGCACCTGGAAATGCCCAGGGAGAGCCACCAAGGAAGTGTTTTGGGAGCCTCTTCCCTGCAGGAGGCTGCACTTGCTGAGGGCCCCAAGCACATTGAATTATAGCTGTGAGGGCATAGGGAACACTGCTGTGGAAGAGGAAGACTTACTTTAGATAAGTAAGTATGGAAACTTACATTCAGGTAAGTACAGTTCTTTTGAGGTAAGTAGGGGTTGAAGCTGCCCTCAGCAGGAGAAGAGAACTGAACTCAAGCTGAGAAAGTCCTGGACAAGAGCTTTCTGATCAAACTGTTTGCCCACAGGCCCATGCGTGTAACAGGAAGGGATGCCACCACAACCATGGCAGATGACTGTTTTAAAGGCTGGTGGGAGGCACTGCACCACTGGTGGAGCTTGATGCTGTCACTGTGTCCTGGACTCGCTTTTGGAGCTTCTGATGGATGCAGTGTATGGGCAGATAAATGAACATTGATCCATCTTGGGATTCCAGCTGGACTTAGAAATGGCTTAGCCTGTTCCATACCGAGGCACTTCTGGGAGTCAACATAGTGAACTTTAAAGTAAAAACCTGTGATGAGCTCAGATGCGATTGTAGATGGCAGGAAAGTGTTTCAGAGCCATGTTTTTACTTTGCTTTGTAAGCTCTGTTTTATCCCACTAATGGTCTGTATTGGATCTGGCATAGATCTGGCAGACTTGGAGGCTGGATCTTTCAGTTTACCTATAAAACCCATGGTACCTGAGCAGCAGTTTCCCTGCCAAGCTGCACCATCTTGACCTCAAGGCAGAACTCCCATTTAGTTCCCGTTACTCATCTTTGAGGTTTTCTTTCCCATGAAAAAACTAGCACTTGCCTGTGGGCGGGGAGAAGGAAACCGGCTAGGAATTAGGAACTGGGTAGAAGTTTCAGTCTGAAATCACCCATTCACTTCATTTTCAATCCTTAACAGCAATTACTGTATCAAGCTTCAGTTTCCTTCAATGTGGCTGTAAAGCATCATCAATAGGACATTAAAAGAAGATCTCCAGACAACTTCTAAGCCATTTTGCCCCTTGATGTGAAACAGATGTTATGCTAACAATATAGCTAAGCTGGAACGCTATGAATTTCATCCATCTTTTGCTTTGAGATAGTTGACGTGTTGCCATTTCTTCCTGACTTAAAACCAGAGGGTTCAACTCTGATGCTGTAAACTTACACCTAGCATCTCTTCCAGGAGAAAAATGTTCTCTTGCTGACAGTGAGTTAAACAGAGGGCAAATCCATATGGATCAAAGGAAATTTTATTATCTAAGACCAGGCACAGAGGGTAGCATACTTGTGTTCTCCTCCCATAATAGGTACCAGAGAGATTAAGAAAAATCAAGAGAACTCTGTTTTCAGTTTCTACAAGCAATTACAAAACTCTTTTTGATACCTTGGCATGGTGACTAGGAGAAGCAGAGATAACATACAGGGAACTTCACTCCTGCCAGTGGATTAGGTCCAAGTCAGTTTTTAATGCCTGAAAAATCCTGCTCTTTGGCTTGCATGTCCCTCTCAGTTCATCCTGTGAGTAATCATGAATCCTTTCTGAAGATCTGAGGCAAGAGGGTGTTTTTCCCCGCCCTCCTTGTGGGATGCTGAAGGGCTGTCAGATTCCAGGGGGAGGAAACAACAGATTACTGAAAAGGGTGGGCCTTCAGTAGATAGCACAGGGCACTATATGAATGCCTGCTGCTGTTATCAATAGCTTGTCCATTGCACCATTTTTCTGTAACATTTTTTACTTTGAGAACCGAAGGGTGCTTTACAGCAGGGAGTTTTGTTATGTCCATTTTAGGGATGGGGAAATGAAGTCAAAAGGAAGCCAGGCAGCAAAGGTTTAGCGGATTCCAGGTAAGTGTCCAAGGCTCTGACAGCCTTTTGCTCTTGGTGTTAGGCACAACAGCTTCTGCTCAGGCGTATTCCTGCTTTTGGTAGCAACCTGCATGTAGCTTGACATAGAGAAACAAACCTTTATCCATTTGCAACTGCTGTAGTTTAGGGCTATGTTTGCTGGGAAAGCTAGGATGTTAGATACCATCTTGGAATAGGAAAGAATGTCATCTCCCACCTCATTTTTCTTTCTGAGATCTACTGTGTCCACAAGCATTTTTCACATGCTGTAACTAGAGCCATGCTTTGGCCTTCACCTTGGAAACCACAGCTGCTGCAAGTAACACACACACTGGGGTGGCTTGCCTGTGGGCAGTACAACGTCCTTCACATCAGAGAAGAATCATAGAATTGTCAAGGTTCAAAAAGACCTTCAAGATCATCAAGTCCAATCATCACATCTCCCGCAGTTCCCACTTAGCAAAATAATAATAATCCATTCTCTCCAGAGAATGGTGTTGTGTACAGCACACTAAAGTAGGCAGTAAAAACAGCAGCAATGCGGATAAAGTGAGCTGTGTTCCTCCGTGAGATGTCTATATAAATGCAGTTTAGAAAGGCAGTCAAAGAGGATTCACTTAATAGGGGACACGGAGAACCCCAGGTGATTGTATGTAACTTATTTCTCTCCACAGTCCAACTGCAATTACAGGTCTCACACCCCCTGCTGGCTTGTCTCCTGCCTTTAATGAGATCACTAAGAGATAAGGCTGTAACTGTATTAAAATGAGAAAACAATATGTAACTATGGAGTGAGCAAAGATCAAGATCCACTACAGCCAGTCAGGCTTGGCTAACTTTCTTCGTGCACTTTTTTTCCCCTCCCTCTGGCTGACGGATACAACATTTTGCATTTTTGACAGCGCTTTGCATTTTCCTGAAACCTTTCAACTAAGTCATTCAAATGCCGTTTGCAAAAAACATGACAAAGAGTTCTTAAAGTCCCTTTGAAAATTAGGCTCCCATCCTTCGCCACTGCACATGAATGGTACTACCTTCATTCAGAGCCACAACATTGTGGGTTGCGGAGGCAAAGGGCAGAAATATCAGACATTCCAGTCATTTTGAGTGCCTCAGCGTTACGCTTACATAAAATTCCTAGGCACTTGGTACTTCCGTAGGTGGGAACTTTAGCTGCTCAGCCTTTCTCAATAGTAAGTTGAAAGTGTGGTGGAGTTGGTTTGTTTTTGTTTTTCTTCTTCTCCATTTGTTCTTTTCTGCTTTACTGAGGAGGTGGCAGAGGCTTGCCACAGTCGTGCCACAAATCAGGTCGAAGTCTGGAATTTAAGAGAGTTGGGGTCCTGTCTAACTGCTCGATGAAGGGCTTTCAATGCTGGTTGACAATGCCCCAAAGATGACTAGCAGGGGGATGCTGGGACAGCAAGAAAAGCAAATCCATTGACAGTACATTCAAACACGCCATTCAAGGATTTGCACTTCCCCAGGAAAAAAAAAATATTTAGTAATCCACAAATAAAATGATTTAAAACTTGTGCTCTAGGAGTTCGAGACATTTAAAGCTGTAACCTCCTTGTGATGCCTTGTTTTTATAATGAAAAAAATACACACCATAATCTATCATTCCATTTTTAGTTACTGACACTGTTTTTAATTCACCCTTCTTTGCCAGTTAGCTATCTGGGAGATAAAGCAGCTTTGAAATCCCCAGACTCCCTGGAACCACGCTTTGTATCTGTCCAGGGTCTTCTGTGCACTTCACAATTCCAAAGCAGATAAACCAAGTGCCACCTAACTCACTGCTTCCCTGCAAAGTTTTGAGCATTAGTGGCTCTATGGGCATAATTGAAAGAGCGTATGATTGAGCTAAAAATGTCTTAATGTGCTCTTTGTTTTTCCCTTCCCATTTGATAGCTTCCTATTAGAAATTTGCATTAGGAAAATGTGACGTTTTCAAAGAGAACCGCCACGAGGTCAGGATGTGCCTAAGTCCAGCCTCTGGTCTTTCCACCTGTCTGCACACACGCTGTGCTGCAGTATTCAGATACAACAGGCTGCTGCATTCAGCATTTCAGGTGAAATGCTGCCTGATAAATAAGAGGGAGCAACTTTCTGTAGACCAAGGTTTATCTTCATCATTCTGATCACTGCCAAATTAATTTTATCCACTCCATTTTGTTCCCCAAAAGGTTTGCCCCATTAATACCTATCCTGTACTTTGTATTCTCGGTTTGCAGGCATTAAGTCAAATCTGATCAAGAATAAAACACTTGGCCTTGAGTTCTGTGCAATCCTGGACCATTTGCTGAACATGACACAGCCGGTGCGATCCCTGAGACCATGGAAAGGATTGGATGGAGTTGCATAAAAAGGAGGAGACGGTGCCAATTCAAAGGCAGCTCACTTGTTACTACATCAGAAATTGCAGTTCTACATTTTAATGTTACTATCTGTAACGGTCTCAGCTTTGGCACTTCTGTGACACCTTAATGCTTCTTTTTACAAAATTAATGTTCTGAGATTGAAAGCACTCTCCTGTAGGGCACTGGGAGGTGTTAAGGAGAGGAAAGCAAGCTGATGGAGATCCTCCTGGCTGGGACTTGGCTGAAGCTGCGCCTGAGCTACCCCTGGAGACCAAGGTCTGCACAGAGCTCATCGCCTTGCCTGTTGACTGAGTGCCAAGCAAGGATGACAGCAGGATCCTGAGATCTGCCTGATGGTGCTCTGATGGAGCTCACTGTCTTGATCTGATACCTGATCTGGTCTACAAGAGCTGTGCCTCGCTCCCCCCAACGTTGTACACCCAACAGGGCTACTAAAGCTGGGTGTTCTTGGCAGTAAAAGAGAAGATACAGCTCAAACTTATTGAAATAGCCTGAATGTGCTGAGTTTCTGGGCTAGCTACTCCATAAGCCATCTAATTGGCAGGGCACTTGGGGAAGACTGAGAATATTCTTCCCAGCACAACAAGGATGGATTTTCTGGAGGTGGCTGGTTCTGTTCCCGTAGAGATGATTACTTTAATACAATAAAAAACGAACAATATGAGTTTGGGCACCTACAGCCCTAAATAGCCACGTCTTTAAATTTCATTTAAGTCTGCATCCATCAATAAAATATTTGATATTTTTTCGCTAGACAACTGAGTTCTGCACAAGATGTTCAGTCTGGCCCTGGTTCATCAAAACACTTAAGTGCTTTGCTGAATCAGGGACTTGCTTCTCATTAAATCAGGCACTTTATGCAAGGAAGCAGAGAGCATGCTGCAACCTTACCTCACTGTGTGGTCTCTCTTGGCAATTGCTGTGCACAGTAATAGGTTATGGATTAGGACCCTCATCTGAAGGCACAGATTCACTCCAGAGCTTCCACCAGACACATTTTCAGTTGGTATTTATTGAACTGGCATGGGAGTGCTCGAGCATCAGGAGTCAGCTAGTTGTTGGTTAGGGATGGCACTGAAATAAGTTTCCCTGAACCAGTGAAATTCTTCTATACAGCCTCAGGCTTATAGAGAAAAGATTGAAAGTGCCGGGCTCTGAAAGGGAGTCAGGCATCGTGCAAGTTCACTTTTGGGATAGTTAAGTCCCCATGAAGGTTTTAGCAAAAAGTTACAGAACCAGATATTGTGGTAAGGCAAGCGCTACAGAGCAGACAGTCTAGTAGCTCCTCTCTTTTCTTGTCTGAAAACTCCTTGCAAGTTTTTCTCTGGGATCTGCTCTCACATCAGGTCCACACAGACAGCAGTGCCACTACAGCTTGGAAGCCAAGAGTCCCCAGATGTGTTGGTAATCATGTGTAGCCCCTCTACAGGTCCCAGAGCTTATAATACCCGTATGATTCACAGCTGTTTGGAAAAGCATTCTGCACACCTGGAAATGGTAAGGAAGCGCTCATGTCTCCATTACCAGACTGAAGCACAGACGTAGGAACTCAAGATGCTCCTGGGGTCCTGCAGAAGTGGCTAGACTAGGAAACACCCCAATCCCACTGCATTTGGGACAGTCTGAAGGCGGTCCCAATCCCTGATGCTCAGCAATACTCCTGATTCATGCAGTTTACATGCAGAAAAAATTGTCTCCTTTGCTGGGGTGCAAGATGTCTTGTAAAGAGCAAGGATGTCAGCTATCCCCGCCACAGCCAGGTAAGCCAGGAGGTGCAGTCCCACAGTAGTTCTCCTAAACTGCATTTACATAGTGAGTTTTGTGCCCTGGGAAATAAGAAGCACATACACATGATCGGTGTTTATATGTGGAGCTATTTCAGGGCAATGTAACCAGTGGGAAATATGAGGATTATAAAAAGGTTTTGAAACAGACAAGATATCTCCATAAAATCCTCCGCTGCCTTAAGTGGAAAGCCAACAGAAATAAGCTCCGCCAACAAACACAATTCATTCCAGCTCTTGTGGCAGGGAAATAAGACAAGAGAACTGCCAGAACAGTGGGTTGCAGTTCATCTCGGGAGTACATCAGGATCATTATAGCCCTGAGATGAGCAGTTGCCCTTAGTAAGAAAAGCACACTCAGCAGCAAAATTGTTCTGTGCAGATGGGTGATAGCCCAAAGGTAACTTGTGTTCCCAGAGCAGCTCAGATAGATATGGGTAAGCAAAATGCTGACCAGCTGTAGGCTTTCATTTTGAGTTTATGAGACCTTCTCATCTATAACATGATTTTAAAACCGACCTGTTAGCACTGAGCACTTGTTCTGGGACGGAAGAGCTGCCTATCAACACTCTGTAATTTTACCCTACAGGAAAAAGTAAGAAAATGAATTACAAGAAGAGAATTGATGAGAGAGAGGGAGAACTCAGATGACAGACATGGCTAACATGGTTGCTTGCTGCCTTTCACACACACACAATTAATTTTGTGTATGTGTTCAGAATGCAAGTAAATGAGCTTAAAAAGCAGACTTGGAGGTCATCAAGATCTCGAGCATGTTTCCTCTGCATGTTGAAGCAGAGCAAGTCTTTAAAGCAGGTACTTCGAAATCCATTCAGCCCTTTGTCACAAAGAGCCCAGCCGAACACCCTCTCCTAACTTCAGCGAGCCTTGCAAAGAAAAGGTTTGACTGGGCACTGATGCATGACATACCCAGGGGAGGGGGTCTGGATGTTGTCCCCACTGTGTGAGCCCAGCCCCTGGCCAGGGCAGCAGACAGCTCATCCTCCTTCCAAAACTTAACGCAGAGCAGCAGTGGCTCTGAATCAAATCGGGCAGAGACCTGGGTTGTCTCATCCAGGCGTGCAAATCCCACAGTGCTGGTTGCCAGGGCAGAGCCAGCCACCAAGGAAAGGTTTTGGGGAGATTACTGCTCCATGTCCTTTCTTGCCTATCGGGAGATGCCCACCTCCACCCCATCATACCAGGCAGGCTATCGTGTGGTCGTCGTACTTCTGGGCACTGCTCCTGGCTGCCTGAGATAAGAGCTGGGCAGAGGCTCTGCCTGAGTGACAACATCCAGATTAGGAAGAAGAGGTCCCACACGCAGAACCCCATCGTGCCATTATCTACATTGTGCAAGAGGGAGGGAGGAGGAGAAAAAAATTTCAAAAATAATCAAAAACCTGAATTTTTGGGCAAGCTGAAGTTCACCAGGATACCAGTGGTTCCTTATAAATGTATTTCTGGGAGCATCTACTTTTGGGCAGCTTCAGCTTTACATTCGTGCAACACATACTTTTACTAGGACCATAATGTTGGTTTAGCAGCACTGGAAATTATGGCAAATCTGCTGACTGGTACTTTTGGATTGTTCCCTGATGGAGCAAGGTATCTCCTGCTGGGCTCTGCTCTGGGTGCTTTCCTGTTGCCCTCTTTGTTCTTTCTCCCAGGCTGCCGAAAAATCAGCATCCCCTGGGGCTGTAGCACCTCTAACACTCCAAGATGCAATTACAGCAGAGACTGTGGATCAGGGGAGCAGCCCAGAGGAGAGAGCACACATCCTGGGAGAAAGTTCTTTGCTCCTTGCATGACAGTTGCTCTCTCAAGACCCACAGGTATCTGCCAAGTACATTCCTTACCAGCAGCCCAGCTCCCTATTCCCCACTGTGTTTTTTTTTTTTTATTTTTTTTTTATTATATAGTGTTTAGATAGGTTAAGACTTCCAGCTTGCCAGCACATAGCCATTGTCTGCACGGGCACGTCCTCAAGAAACAATGCAGAGAGCCCATTATGGTTTGTGATAGACCTGAGCTGTATAATTGAGATCCACCCTTAAGCCTCAAGATGTTCTGATCTAATGCTCAAATCCATCAGTCTCCTCTCCTGCAGATAAAAGCAAAAAATCACCAGACACAGCATTTCCAGAGCTGAATTTCCCAGTTTTAAATCTGAGGATTTTATTTTGGCTCAGTGTAAGAGTTCAGCTCCTGTTCAGTGTATCACTGTTCAGAAGGAGAGCTGGATGTGCTAGCTGTCTCAAGCCTGGTCTGTAGTTACAATGAAAGTACCTTGTGGGGAGAGGCTAATCATGAGTTTAGTAAATACCTGGGAAAATTCATTGTAAGATAAGTCAGTAAAAAAGTCTTTTTTGTGCCAGAATAGCAATTATTGTTAAGGCACTTTTTTTTTTTTTTGGCAGATAAGTTGAAATTTCTGTAATGGCCAAAACCTTAATGCAAATGCTGTTGAATCCACTTATAAGTCTTTTTGCCAATATGTGGTCATTTTTGTTCCATTTATCAAGATCAGCTAAACCAACAAAATTCTTCTGAGAGAGTAAAAGCAGTACTCCCACAAGGAAGGTTTGCTAGGATAGCTTTTTTGGAATACTTACGCTTGGAAATTTTAAGAATAAGACCCTGCTGAGGTTAAAAAAAATAAATATATGTATCCATATAGCTTGTGCAAAGAGCTAGTGATGAGAACAGCTTAAAAATGAGTCTTCTCCAAGCTATCCCAATGGGAAGATGAGCAAACTTTGCCTTGCTTCCAGTTCCTACATAAACAGTGAGAGCTTCCTCTGTTATTTATGCCCCGGTGAGTAGGAAGACAGGAATAACAAACACCAGCCTTGTCTCATTCTTCTCAGCTTATTACCCTTACAGCGAGCACACAAACCTCTCCAAGGGCATTGCCAAGCTCACCAGACTGCTTCCCCGAGGTATGTTCTGGAGAGCTAAATGCACGTCACGCCCATTCAAACCTCTTTTCATGCATCTCCAGGCAAGGGCACGGACTGCCCATAAAAACATGCAAATGATTCTCCAGGCATTGTACAGACATGTGAAAGAAACTATTTCCTTGCCCTGAGGAAGTCACTGGCAATGAAGACGGAGACTCAGAGAAGACTGGGGAAGAAGCGGAGGGGGTTGGCTGCTCTCAAGCCGAAATAAGTGGCGGTGGGGGAATAAGCAGGGTGATGGAGGAGGCATAATGGTCATGCCTGCAGACAGGACTGGGAGGTAGGGCAGAATTCCCCTCCCAGCTCAGCTCAGCCTAAGCAGATCAGTTGTGGTGGTCCTTTCCTCTCCCTTCGCTTTTGGGGTGACATTTTCCAGTTGTACTTGCAAACTTAAAAATGCAGCTGGCTCAAAGGCTTCCTGGTGCAAGCGGAGCGTGTTGAGCAAAACCTCAGCCTTGTTAAACTGGAGTGGTACCTCTCCTTCCACAGAGCCACAGCGGAGGAAGCAGAAGGTTTTGCAAACCTCATCAGCTCGTCCTATGGGAAGTCACGAGACCAGCCCTCGTCAAACCAAAGCACTGAATGCTTAAACAACAAATTCAGATGTTGATTAACAGGAAAAAGCCTTTTAATCTATATTGGTCAATCAAGTTCAAAAGGGAGGTTTATTGTTGCAAGTGTATATACTATAAATAAGGGGGTTATTTGATGTTCTGAGCGTTGCACAACAGGCTGTTTTATATGATCTTTCAAGAAATGGTTTTCACATGAGCTAGGTGGGTGGTTCTCTGAGGTGTTGGATTTCATGAATATGCCGAGGCTTTGGGGAGAGCTTCCACCCTGAGAAAGACAGATCTGTTGTGTTGGCTTTCTGCCTGTCCCAGGTGACAGAGAACAGAATGATAAAAGGATAAAACCCCCTTTGAGGTGACAAAGGAAAAA